CCAGGTCCTTCAAGCGTCGCTCCTGAACAAACCGTGTCAAAGAGTCATAGTCGGGAGCGTTCTTTCCGGATTGCAGCTGCGTATGCATTACGAAAACTTTGAGTTGTGGCGATCGCGAGTTGGGGCGGGCAGGCTGGCAGTTTTGGCCCCTCAAACTTAAAGCTCAGTCTATCGTATCTGTTAATCTGCTCATCGACCAATTTGAACTTCCACGTCCTCCAGGAACTCGGACTGGTCTTCCTTGAGGTAGCAAATAATCTTGGTGCCACGCTTGATCTCGCCGTGCACCAGCTCAGTGTCCTCTCTCACGGCATTTCCAAACAAGGATACCACACAATAGCCCAAGCCCGAAGAGCCCTTAACCTGCGGTCTCTGCCAGCACTTAACCGCATTTCACTCTCGGCTTTAACCAACGGCAGGCTAAGAAAAGCCCCCTACATCAAGTTCAAGTGTGCATGTCCAACACTCCCACACAAAAACCCAGAAACACGCTGGCCTTCTGAACAGTGAAGGATCCGCCGGCGCCGCTCTCCCAGATGTACTGCCTCGTGGAATTGTTTGGAAAGCCCCCATCTCCCTTCGAAATCTCCTCACTCACATGCTTGTTTTGACAAGCCGCTCGTCGTCGTTGTGCTTGCTGACGACGCGGACCTTGTCCGAGACGAGGTACGCGCTGTAGAAGCCGACGCCGAACCTGCTCCGGATTGGGACTTGGGGTAGGTCACAACGTTGGGGGTTCAAGGGAGTGAAGGATACAGGATAAGCTCAGGCTGGGAGTGGAAGTGCAAAAAAAAGCAAAGCTTTGTCGCTTTCCGAACACGGGCCTGAACTCCCCTTGAACTACCCGAGCCTCCTACTTCATGACCTAAGGTCGGAGACATCAACCCGTTGCATCCCAGAAGCTGGCCGATCATGGAGATGTCGCCGCCGGCTGCCATGGCCTGCCGTGGGACTGCTCCGAGAAATCGTTGCTGCCTACAGCCTTCACAGGCCCTCAAGTGTTTTAGGGTGTTTTTACAGTTGGGGTGGCTCTTTTACGTCTGCCCGAAGTAGGGTTTTAGGGTTTAGCGTTTAGGGGTTTAGGTTTTAGGGTTCTAGGATTTTAGGATTTAGGGCTTTAGGGTTTTTGGGGTTTCGGGTTCAGGGCCCCTGTCTCCTGGCCTCCATGAAGGCTTTGGTGCCGGACTTGGCCTCCGCATGGAAGCGGGAAGCGGTGGAAATAATGAAGGTGCCTTAATAATTACCAAAAAGGGTCCTATATCGTATATCTATAATAAGGAACCCTAACATATTGGTAATTATTTAAGCTTCTCTATTACGCTGCTTCGGAGTCGAGTCTTGCTGCATCGAAACATCCAGTTCTGAAAAGAGCCGACCTCAGCCAGAAAACAGGGAACATCCTAGATAAATCGATCGAGCGACAATCGTCCCGAGGTTGTTGATCAACTCCTCAGGATTCGTTTGCATTCGCCCTGCTTCTGAAGTCTGAGAGCTGGCGATGACGATACATAGACTTACCAAGCTTGCGCTGTCTGCAGGCTGACGCAGCGAGCACAGGACGCTCGACAACGTGCCCCTTTCAAGAACCTTGCCACGATTCCACCCCGTCTTAAGTCTGCAGCAACCACCATTTAATGAAGGCCGAGGAGCGTTCTTGGTCATGCCGATGCCGGAGTCTTCGATGGTCAAAGTCGAATTGGTCTTGTCCGGGATGATCTCAGGTGCACGAGACCATCAAGCTGCAGGCACTGGGCGAATAGTCGCGGGTATGGAACCCTGCCCATCGTCTCAACAAGCTGCACGCGACCACACGATTCCGAAACAGGCCCAGGAGCTTTGATGAAGAAGTTGGGCTGCGCCTGCACTGGGGGGGGAGATTATCGATGCTTCTATTCTTCAAAATTATGCACTTTCGCTGTCACAACGGCATGTTTGTGATACCATGATGCCAACCCATCTGAGAATAAATGTTCCTCTGACGATTGCTCCCATTGACTCAGCAGACGCATGTGACCGGAGTCCGCATGTCACCGCATGTCTCAACGCTGTGCGCAGTCCCCACGTTGCCTCGATCTTGTCTGGATCAGTGATCGATTCGTAGCGGATCTTGTCCAAAGCCTCTGTTTCAGCTCTTATGGCTCTGGCTGTCATCTGAATTTCGAGTGACCAGCCCGCCAAGAAGTCAGCCCGATGCCCCAGCTCCAACGTACTTTCTGCTGCGAGCTGCATCCGAGGCATTGGAGATGAGCTCACGCAGGAAGATCTCCTTGTTGGAGTAGAAGGTGTTGATGATCAAGCCTCGACGACACATAGAACACGCTCAACCGCTAAACCCACCTTTTCACACATCGTTTTTTTGCTCTCGGATCCAGCATTAGTGCATATACAGTCACACGCACACCTTTCGGGCATCTGCTTATGATTGCTTATGAATCGAAGACCTGAAGACCTACTGGTCGTAGAGAACATCTGTTGGTCGTTGGACAAATGCGGATCTTTTCGGACATTACACGACAGGTCTACAGTCTACATGATGGCATGTGCCCAGAAACTCATCAGCTGCTGGATGTCCGCGTTGAATGCGAAAGTCTCCGCCATGATTGTCCTTGCTTTGGATCTTGCAGCTTACGACATCCGGGCGGTTTAGCTGGTTGGCTAAATCGGGGATGGGAGACTGATCGCAAACAACGACCGCCGCACGTCCCTTAAACGCAAGGCCTGTTAGGAAAAACTCCCACGAGCCACAATTCAAAGCCA